CCTAGTGGGTAACATGATGATGATGAGTGAATCGCCCTTTGGCTCTTGATCCACGAGGAGAAGAAAGACACCGCAAATGCTTTGTGACTTAATCGTAGCAAGGGAACAAGGGATTCCTGGAACGATACGTAGTCGCCATGGCAACGCCCCGAAAGTGATAGACGTTGACGTGTAAGAAACTCCCGTCGGGATACCTTCATGCCGATCCTTCCGTATGTGCAAGCAACTGGCATAGCTGAAATGCACGCCTGAATCCGGGCTGGAGTTTTCCATCCACCAATCTCTCTCGCAATTCTTGCTGAGAATCTCTATGGGCACCTATATATAATATGCATGTGAGTGATTAAAGCCATAACACCTATTGTATGTAACTTACTATGCGTCTTCATCGAAGACTACTTCATCAAAGGGATCGATAAGATCGGTCCCTATGATCTCTGCAAGGATATCGTCTCCGCCCATGACTAAAGCATCAAAAGTTAGTATCATACAAAGTCATCCATCCCAATGTGCAAGTATACTTACATGAATCTGCTTGTGCAGCATCTTCAGACAAAATTGGTGATGGTGGTGCAAGCTCTGCTTCGGTAAAAAGCAATGTGGATGATGATGGTGCCAATGGTAATATAGGTGATAGTGATAGTGGTATAGGTGATAATGATGATTCCATTGGCAATATGGGTGATAATGATGATAATGATGGTATAGGCGATGATGGTGATGATATAGGTGATGAGGTTGTTGTTGTTGTCTCTGGCCGTGGAAGCCGTCTTCTTGGGTATGCTATCGGCCTATACTCATATCCCCAGGATGAGGATGAGGATGCGGGTGATGGTGGTGATGATGGTGGCGGTGATATTGATGGTGATGGTGGTGGCCTTGGTGGTGATGGTGGCGGTCTTGGAAGTGGAGGTGGTTGCCTCCTACTTGGTCTCTGCCATCGAAGGCGACTTCTAGGCCGTATGACGGGCCTTCGGAACTGTAACCGTGATCGGTTGTTGTTGTTGCTGCTACCTGTGCTGGATGCAACAGGTATTGCTGATGCCGCTGGTGCTGATGCTGCTGCTGCGACTACTACTTCCGGTGTGACCTCCGGATGAATGGTGATGGTTGGCTGTGGCATCACTTGGGTATACAAAATTGGTTGTTGTTGTTGCTGTGGCGGTGGTGATGGTGGTGGTGGCAATGGCAATGGAAAGAATGGTGGCGATGGTAATGGTGATGCCATTGGGGTGTCTGCAAGTTCTTGGACTTGTTGCTCCGAGGCATCTGTGCCTTCTATAAAAGTAAAAAGATCGAATTAATACGATATCACTTCATCTGGTAGTAATCCCAATATCCAATGCACTTACCATCCTCTGCGATTTCTCGCAATTCAGGAGTATCAGGCATAGCATCTGGTACTTCCGTATCTTGGTCATAAAGATCCAACATGCTGAGAGCTTCACCTATAAAGAAAACCAGTAAGCATCAATGTATTGCTGAAGAGAAGATCTTCTCATATAGAATACTTACAAAGCTCGTCCATGGATGATGATGCAGATGATGATGATGCAGATGATGATGATGATGATAATGCCAATGCGGATGAAGATGCCAATGATGATGATGATGATAATGCCAATGCGGATGAAGATGCCAATGATGATGATGGTAATGCCAATGATGATGATGGTAATGCCAATGATGATGATGAAGATGCCAATGATGATGATGGTAATGCCAATGATGATGATGGTAATGCCAATGATGATGATGATGATGATAATGATGTTGTTGCTGCTGTAGTAGTAGTAGAACTTGGTGACGGTAAGCCGTACACATGCTGCATGGCTTTATGCATAGCCATTCCTCGAAGCAACTTTGGTGGGGACCGTGTGCTTGTAACTTGCTTGGATGGTTTGAAAAGGTCCACAGCTGATGATGGGTTGATAACAGCATCACCCTCCAAGGCCGACATGTTGCCATGATGACGGGGCACTTGTGCTACTGGTCGTGTAGAAAACAACATACCAGGATACTCGCAGGCTTGCGCCTTGCATGGAACCACTGGAGCTACCCAGGGTTGACGATTAGCCATGACAACAGGGCTAGTAGGCACCTGTGTCGAATCACTTACCTTTTCCCTGGCCGCCCGCAACGGCACGCCGGCCGAGCAGTCAGCATTGCTGGCAATCGGGACGTGAGTCAACCGATTGTTGGGACGCGAAAGCCCCCACCGAACCAAAGGAAAAACGACGCCAAAGAAGAAGCAGAAAGGCATTACCCACATCATGGGCACCTCTGGAATGAAGTGCCACTTGATGAAAGCAACGCAGAGCACAAGAGCGCGGAAGGAAATGCAAGGTTGATCGTTAGAGATAGCCATTGCGGAAGAAGTAGAGATCTATTGCCATGGAAACAAGGTCAACTTTAAACACCCCGCCCACAGAGTGCCATTTCACGCCCTCTCGATCTCACTTTGCAAATGGCGCGTTACCAAGTCAATCTACGTGTAGAAATGTGTGTAGAATAGAGTAAAGTAGTTTATTTGAATAAAAAGCCTGATAGGGAAGGAAACGGACGCGTCAAGGTTTCATAGCAACCATAGTGCAGGTTGCTCGTCTTTCTTGATTCCTCTGGAGACTTGACGTGTTATGGAGTCTTTTTACGTGTCGAATGGTGTATGCGTCTTGAAAATGTACTTTATTATAATAAAGGAGGGCTGTTTGGATGCAAATGGGCACGTCAAAGCTGTATAGCTACCACACTATATAACGCAAAATCCTTAGAATTGCGATATAAGACTTGATACGTTCCTAGAAGGTACTTTCAGATGCAGTGATCATATTTGTCCTCACAAAGGTGCTATAGTTGTCTATAAAAATTTCGAATATTGATCCATCTTTCATGCACCAGAGTGCCGTTTTGGCCCGAATAGGAAGTACAACATGGCCTGTGCTCCACACTTTGCACCCCGACATGTAGTGAACCCTTAAAATAATGTCCTTGGCTATCGCCATCATTCATCACGAGCAAACATCACTTTTGGTTTAGGTATCATCTCCATCACACACCCAACTTGAGAAATAAATGATGAAACCACTCATATCTTGAGGTCTGCATGATCAAGTGAAAAGCCTTTATGAGAGAAAAAGAACGATCACAGCGTGCCTGAAAGTACTCATCGACAAAGGCTTAGTCAACAATAGTCAACAAGGAGCTATCAATGCATTATCCAATCTGGGAATGGCCACAACGAACTTCATACTTTGACACAAGATCGCTTTGACCCTGACGAGCAACACTGTCCTATTAAAGAACCCACGTTTGATTGTAAAGTTTAGGGATACAGGCACCTTTATGTTTTACATATGCTGTAAGCGTGATGCAATACAAAAGATGGTCTTTGTTCATTGTCAATCAACTAGACCCTGACAGAGCGGAGATGCAGAGGGACTTCTTTGTGTAACACAGCTCATTGGGTGGTACTGGAAAGGATCAATGCATGATAATCATACTATGATAGTAGTTCATAAAATGCCAGCTAACAGCCCCTTCCTCACAATTCCGTCTTTTTTTCAATCCACCGCATGAGAACTATTCTCCTGCTCCAGCTCATCATTTCCATCATTCAACTTTCTTGATCCGAGCTGATTTGGCTGAGCTACGCTGGAACAGCAAGCATGTAAATTCTTGAATCGCAGACCCTGCGAATGTCTCTGTCTCTCCAACTTTGGGAGGCTCCCATTCAAGATTGTGGTAATGAACATGGAGTCTTTATTGGAACAAATTGATCAGCATGCTCGAGAGCACCCTTCTGAACAATTTTCAAGTTGGAGGTGGGCAACTTCGGGGTGGTGGGCCGTCCGCTCTTTTGTTCGTGTCATCCACCATTTGGACCGCCCCCGCATTTTAAATCTTCACAATGAAGTCTGCAGATTTGAATTGAATGAAGTTGATCAGCATGTTCCAGCGAACCTTCTGACAAAGTTTCAAGTTCGAAATGGGGAATCCCAAGGTAATACATACCATTTTGATAAATCATGAATCGGCACTGCCTTCCACTCGCGATTTACATGGTAAACCCACACTGCACCTTACCATTCCAAATTTTCAAATGAAACATGATGTCTTTTTTAGAACAACGTGATCAGCACGTCCCAGAGCACCTTGTGTGAAAGTTTCAGGTTCGACAGGGGCAATCTCAATATCAAGGATTGATGTACAGTGTTCATGCATTTATACAAGAGGTGTCCAACAGCTCAGCCTACTTTAATTTCCACTTCTTCCCTCTTCATCCCATTCCCTACTGTTGGTGCATTCAAGTACAACTACCACCTGCAAACGATTGTCCTGCTCCAACCCATCATGTCAATCCTACAACTCGCTTGATCCGATTGCCTTTGACTGTATGGCAAGTTCATGGCGTGTACACCACACTACAACGACACCTGCGTTCTTTGACACTTCACCTTCTCTTGTACACTCCTCGATCACAACCAAACGTAACAGCATCCATTGCAGCAGTTGCTATTAGCTATGCCTTTACTCCATTGTGTCAAAACGACGTTCGCAATGTTGTCACTCTACTACTACAGCACACGCTCTTGCATACTCCTCTTCCACGACCCAGCGTAGCAGCTGTTGCTATTAGGAAGGTCTTTGCTTCATTGTCTCAAGTTACTTGCAACAGCATGCCTTGCAGCCTTTGTCTACATGAACAGCAGATAGCCATTGTATAGCAGCAGCTTTATTTACGTGTAGCAACATGTTTCAATACAAGCGTATTCCTATACATTTGAATCTGGGTACATGTGATGGAAGGATATGGGATTATGGGGAAAATCCTGAGATGATGTTTTATTTCGAAGGGTATGCCAATATGCTAAACAACTATTTATGCATGTGTGTGTTTGTGTGTACAGCTCGAACAAAAAGAGAGAATAATGATATGGTACAAAGGAGAAGGAAAAAGAGGTTGCCATGCTATCCATGAGAGAGAGAGAGAGAGAGAGATTTCAAAGTTTCAATACCTGTGACAAGTTGAACAATTCCATCATATCATCTAGGATAGCAACATGGAATTAGAGCTCATGGATTACATTCATAAAAGAAAAACTTACCCAGGGTAGCATTTTCCACGGGGTTCCTGAGAGAGGGAGGGGATCGGAAACTCTCATAGAGATATTGAGGCAAGCGGGGTCTGTCAGGATCATTTGACCGTAACTCCATTTGTTGAGATTGCATATCCAAAAACTCGTCCAGCAAGTCATTGCCATCATTCTTATTGCCATATTCCAATCGAAGACCAAATCGACGTTCATGATCCACCCCAGAGGAAGCTTGAAGGGTCAAAAACGTGTGCATGTTTCGAGATCGATAGAGGGAGCACATGAACCTATAACAAGTGTGTGTGAGTGAGTACTACCCTCCGCCAACAACAACAACAACAACCCCAGTACCCCAACTTACCAAAATTCATTGACAAAATCCAAAGGCAGTTCCCAATTCATTGGATTGGTTGGATCACCACCATGGAAAAGAGAGCCATTCAGAAGCAATGCAAAGCATCGATCATAGTCGATAAGATCACGATAAATAATCATTCGATCACGCATCATAGGATTGGGTATCAAATCAATTCTTGGATCGTGTGGAACAGTGAGCTGAAGATAGCTTGGATGGAGTCCTGAAGTCATTGGGCCAAGTGACATGAGTTTGGATTGTATACGCAATTGGATACCAAGTTGATGAATGGCGTCTTTGTTGGCAGGTGCTGATGTTGAAGAAGAATCTTCATTTCCAGAATCATCCATAGTCATTGATGTATCACCATCATCATCATGTTGTTGCTGTGACCCAGATGGCTTATTATCATCATCGCTACCACTCGTTGTATTAGGCGTCGCGTTGTCATGTTGTTGTTCTTCATCTTTGTTGTCGTCATCCTCATCTCGAGCAAGGACATTATCCTCCCAACGCACTGCATCACGCTTGTTTGCACGTGGATTGAAAGCACCACCTGTAGCATCAGCAACAAGTTGTCCCATGGTATCTTCATACATCTTGATAGCATTCCTGTACACTGGGATAGCAAAGGGAACGGTGCATTCAATTTCGCTGATCGTTTGCTGGGTAAAAAACGGCCCGTGTTCGGGAATGTCGATCTTGTTGTGCAAGCATGTGAGTTGCATGGTAAGCAACAAACTACGCAAAAAGCACGCCTCTGCCTTGTACTGCTTGGCTTCCTTGGATGTCTCATTCAATTCCTTCATCATCGCCTTTCGCTCTTTACGCATCGTTTGAATGGTCTCTTCAAGCTCTCGCAAATGTTGCTCTTTACGCTCACGAAACGCTCGTTGTGCTGCTCGATTTTGTGCCTTGCGTAAAAAGGGTGTTGCAGGATTGGGTTTACGGCCTGGTTTCTTACGTACGCGTGTTGGCTGCTGTTGTTCTTGTGTCGTTGGATAGAGCTGATCAGATGATGTTGGTGGTGCAGTGACGCCGTTGAGCATAAGAAAGTCTTGAGGCGGTAGGTTGAAGGAGGGATCTTGAGCGGGTGCATAAGGTTGCTGCTGAAGTGGAATTAAAGAAATGGGGGCTGTAGCATGACTAGCAGGGATCGAATGCTGCGACTCGGTTGATCGTGGAGGCCAAGGAAAGTTGTCCTGTTGAAGGAGGAAATCGTTGATGCTCTCAAATGACGGTTGATCCATACTTTGTGTAGAGTGGAAGAAGGTTGCTATGACAAATGGTTTTTCCTGCTCCAGATCTCTTTGGCTGCTGAGATAATTTCTCCCCCCCTTCACCCCCACTTTTGGGAGACAAGACTCTGGATCCAACCTAAAACCAGTCTCTTTAATGCTTTTGCAATGGGTGATTTATGTCGACTAGATTAAGATAGAATGCTACGTAAATGATGACAAATGAAATAATATGCATGATGATGCCGTATATTGATTTGGGTCGTTTAAGCTGTGTTGGCCAAGAGCCACGTGGCACCGACAGCCATCATTGCCAGGAAACCAAGTGTATCACCGGGTAAAAGTGGGGAAGCGGCGTTGCTATGAGATGCACTTGCGGTTTCACTTGAAGAAGCAGAGGATGAATGTTGTGTCATGGAAGCTAAAAGAAAGGATCAGCAACCATCATCATCTCAAGCGGCATAAAACATGGCTTTATAGAATTACCAGAAGAACCCGATGACTGAGCCTTGGCAGCTGAAGTAGGAGCGGCCGTTGATGAAGCTGAAGAAGCCATAGCACTTGTGCTCATCATTTGCATAATGCTATCAGAGGCATGGGGCCTAACAAGAAGAGTAGATACGAGGTGAGTACAATTTTACCATGGATATGAAAACGCGTTCATCGTACCATTTATCCCCAATGCAACCTTCATAACACTTGGTATCACCTTTACAATCAGTGATACATCCTTCGGCATCTTTGACTATATACACGTGGTCGTTATCATATCAGTCCAATCTGCTGTGCCATGTTTTATTCCCTTTGCCACTTACCACATCTGCTGACACACGCCTGATCAGCATCATCGCACTGGCACGCAGCACGAGCCATTGCCAAAAAGGCAGCAAACATGAAAAGAACAGAAACAAGCTTGGCCGACATGATGAGAAATGATGGGAAAAACAATGATATGTGATAAGAATCGAAAATGATATTGAGGGCTTGTTTTTATACGTTGGCATGGTGATTGTCTCCTATGTATAAGGTGATATTACTATATTCGAAGATTGTGTGTGTATGGTGTAAAATGCTTGTCAAGCACGTCTCGACGATGCTGCCTTTCAAACAAACGACACTAGATGGTATCGACCAGACCCCGTTAATCGTTTCGTGTAACCAAGCTGCACAATGACCCCTTCGAAAAAGGACCGCTGCCATGTGAAAAAGGGGTGTCGTTCCCACTGCGGCCGAGCGTTCTTTTGCTACCATGTCCATACGCACGTATTTTACGTCAAGAACGCACATATATGAAAAGGGGGGTTTGTGATTAGCAGTAAAGGACAAGAAAAAATAGGATGCTTGATATATGCATGCCACATACCGGTGCCTGGAGTTTTCATTTTAATCAAACCCCAATCCATTTCCACTCCGAGCGCGTAGATGAGTCGACCGATGGCAGGTGAACACTATATCGTGAGTGAATATCAGTGCTGAGTGGTGGTGGTAGTAGCTGGTTGGTGTGTGAGTGTGAGTATGTGTGCGTGCGTGCTTGTGTATGGGCCTATTGACATACCCCAAAAAGAGCGGTTAATTAACTTTTTGCATTGCTTTCTTTTTTTCCCTCTTTCTCTTTATCCTTCCTATTTCACTTAATCCCTTGACTTGTTCCTCCTCCTCACTCTTTAATCTTTCCTCACTTTTTTTTGCCTCTCTTACATTACATTCACTCAACCATACACGCCTACCTTCCCACCCACCCACCCCCTTAC